CATTGCGTAAGAATGGCGCTCACGTTTTATAGCAAGATGAATGTATTATCGAATACAAATTGATTAACAGTTTGCCATGCACTGTAACGATATTTCCGGAAAGAAAATGGCAGTCATTAACGACGCGGTCACGTTCGTGCATGCAAAATGATACTGTTCTCAGCATATGAAAGCCTTCTTGCATTCTTTCTTTTCTTATCATTTCTGTTCCAATTTTATTCTCCTTCCTTCGCTATAGACTTGAGCATATTTTCTAAGCAAATTTTTATTAATGCGAACGTGCGGCGGCTGTAGCATTTATGTGCTTCCGATGGTTAAAGTGCACGTAAGTTGAAAGAAATAATCCGATGATGACAAATTGAAGGGCGGAAGTTTCGAACGCGAATGGAGAAGTCCATGAACGAAAATTTCGATGAATATCGAAGGCCGCATGAAGTAAAATATCCGAATGACAAGTGCGGCAAAGCGGGGCTCGGATCGTCGTGGAAGTTTGTGAAAATTCGTGGCGGGAAGCTTACAGTTTTATTTTTCATCCACGTACGTACGTACGTGCACAGCAGTGATCGGAACAGCAGGAAGGGAAGATATATATGTTACAAAATCGTATATCCGAGGCGGAAGTAAAATATGTATGTTGCGTAATTTGGTTGAAAGCTCGCAATATGTCAGTGCTGCGAGTAATCACGCATAATAATTCAAGATAAATTAAGGGATTCCCGGTGCGCCGCACTTCATTAAAACCTCTTATATCAAACAAACACGCGAAATCGAAAATCATAATCGCAGATAACAAGATTTTAATCTCTTTTTTTGCCATAGTTTATCTTAGTGTCACGCGATCAAACCGATTTCTCTTTGTATATTCTTACGAATGCTTTTAATTCAACTTATTATTGACATTCGCAGAATATTCTGAAGCGAATGGAGAATCTTATTATAAATACTTTAAGCTTTTTTTATAACTTCTAAAGTCAATTTTTTTTGTAATAAGAACATCGAAAATTTATTATTATACAGCTTTTTAAATTTCAAGAATGTTTTTCTATAGCAATGTCTCAGATTAAATTTTTATTACAGTTTACCTTAAATTAACTAAGGGATACGATTTTGTTGTCTTTTCTGGTACAGTTTGCGTTTGCCGAAGCGGTATTCAAACAGGAAACGATATTGTGATAAGCACTCATGTTCGATATAACAACATACATAACATGTATTTTCCAAGTAATAGGTTGAGCTGAAATATAACGAAAGCTTGCATTCATGATCAATTCACTAATTGTAAGTTTGTCGCTTCGGCCGCTAATATAATCCGACTTTAATTAATAAGCCACTTTTATTGGATCTCATGTAGCTCATTTGTCTCTCACTGCGACCTTACATCGAAATCGAGAGAGGATTTGTTGAATCTCTGTCGTTAAATTACTCATGAAGCCGAACAAATGCGCGTTCGACCTGCCATTATTGATTTCAAGAAAGTTGGACCAGCCAGAAAATCGATAATGCGAATTCGTATCTAAAAATCCGTATTGGTAAAAAATGTTTTAAACGTGTTTTAAACAGTTTAAAACATGCTTAATTGATGTTTTTAATATGTTTTAAATATGTTTTTTTATAGTACTGTTTAAAACATTAAAAACATATTTAAGAAAAAACACAATACGTTTTATTCTTAAAAAAAAAAACATTAATCTTTACCAACCCTGATGATAAAGCCATCGCATATCAAACAACAAGGTTTTATCAGAAGAAGGCAAATGTAAATATTATAATATTTCATCATTATTATTGATAGTATTCTCGTGCGTATCTCTCTTTTTTCTTTTCTGCTTGTGCATCATTTGTAAATAATGCGAAAATCAATACATGATATATAT